ACAAATGGATGCACATTTTTTGAAGATTCTCACCTGAATTTTTAGATATATATGGAAACGTTGTGTCTCAGCATACTGAAATTGTGTCTGATGCCCCTCTATTATATATATAGAGTTATGGCCCTTTGTTCATTTTTAAATGGATGTTTGTCTTAGAAACAGCTTTAAAACATATAACTGTAAAGCAGTAAATATGCTTTTAAAAGTACAATATTTTCTTTATTCTCCTCTTTTAACACTTTGTTCATCATGTCAGATTTTTTCCGTTACTTTCCATCTTGTGTATGTTTCTATATATACATTTGTCCAGTCATGGGTCTGTCCACCTAACACATCCTTCATCTTGCTCTATCAATCATTGAACAGTAGACAATGAGTTTAAATACCATGGGATAGAGGTGTACATTGTTTTGCCCCCTTGCGATACTCTCTGATTTTCTTTCTTATTTCACATATAAGTACATCATGTTCAGTTGCCCTGTCAAGCACACCATTGATGCTTTAAGTAAGGGCAACCCTGAAATGGACAAGATATATACTGTATGCCACCCTACATTTCCTTCCGACTCGGCTAGGGAGAGTTTCTTTTTAGCTCATTCGTAAGACTAATGTGGCAGATTTTAATTGTACATAGAATTAAGGTCTCCTTCTAGCTTCGAGCTATAGGGAATTTCCCTTTAGCTCAGTGATAGAGCGTCCGACTAGGAACCTGGAGATCGAGGGTTAGATCCCCAGTGGAAGCACACTATTCTGTTGCCTGTTACGCTATTAAGCCAGAGGATCTGGGTTCGACTCCTAGCGGAGGCATAAAAAAAACTATGACCTCTGTTGCATAAATAAGCAGTTACTTAGAGACCTTCTTTAGATGGCTGACACGACTTTCCCCAATGTTTGGAGTGGAACATAGGTTTACTACTGAACGGGGGGCCCTAAATAGTTCTTCATCGGGACTGATTGAACAATCAGACTGCCCAATCCCTTCACCATAGGTCTGCAGGGCAGAAAGTGTGAGGGGGAGGGCGACATCGTATGACAGTGTCCATACTGTGCCCACCCCCAATCCCATTAACCTTCAGGTTGACTTACATTGAGTGTGCTAATTGTGTCCCCGACCAAATAATACTGGGTGATATGTGTTGATCTAATAATAAGTGTGGCGACAAGAGGTGTTACAGAACACTGCTTGAGACAATCCCCCAGAGTTCAAATTGTACCTTCTACCAATCATAAGCATTGTCTTCTAAAACGCTTTATCAACATACAAACTGTCACAATAATTCAATCACTCAATTATTGAAATAGAGTGGAAATAAATTACCGCCTTGTTTGGTTCCCCGTTAATGTAATCAGTCAGAGAAATTGATGTGCCGTGCTCATACGCCACTTTTTCTTCTAAAAGTCTTCATGGAGTGAAATAACATTAGGATACAGTGGAAAATATAATCGTTTTATTTCCGGAGATCTCCGTTCGCCTTGATTAAAAGGAGAAATAGAAATTGCAGTGAGTTTTGAAGAACATCAAATTTCATTATGTTATTTCCCGCTGATTGGACTCAGCACTTGCTACTTTGGCAGATCTGTTGATGGCCAGAATCCCTCGGTACCCACACAGCCTCTGTGTCATAAAGGAGCGTTTCCTCCAATATTAGCGTCATAATATGCCGAGTGTTAATCTGCTTGTGCCATTGTGTTCGTTTAGAACCACAGGAATTGCCTTAGACAGTCCAGTGGGCACACAAAGAAAACAAATGTAACTCAAGTATGCTAACTAATAAAAAACAGAACTTGAGTAAAAAAGGAATCCTAAAATTGAAAAAGGGTTAAATTTGTTTCAGGCCAAATTTTGCAAAAGAGTCTATCGAAGTATAGAAGACTGGAATGAACAGTTAACATTCAATCAAATATATATAATATTATGTATACAAAGCTATTTAAATGCACACAGAAATAGCCCCACTCGTGCTACTTAAAGGTTCATTTACATACAGTTTGGTTTGAATTTTAAATGGGATGTTCCATTGAGCTTAACTCACATGGTCACAGTTTATTGGAAAGTACATATCAAACTCTATGCATACAGTTCCTGAACACCTTTGGATATCATTCTCAATGACTTTATTGGGGTATGATTATATGTCGACTGTACTTTAAAAACACTAATGTTTGAACAGTTTGTAGGTACAGTCCTTCACTGGATGATATTGAAGCTGTAAGGACCATTGCCAAACATGACAATAAAGATAGATTCCAGAATATTAAAAACAGCCAAAGTAAATCAACTGTTATAGGAACAAAATAGACTTTGAGTTATTGATATTGTCATAAAACAGGATTTCAAAGGTTTTAAATACAGTACATTAAAATATCACCACATTGTTTTCAGGGAATAAGACCATATCGGGTAATAAACCCATGTTTGGTAATAAACCCATGTTTGGTAATAAGCCCATATCTGGTAATAAACCCATGTCTGGTAATAAACCCATGTCTGGTAATAAACCCATGTCTGTTAATAAACCCATGTTTGTTAATAAGCTCATGTCTGTTAATAAACCCATGTCTGTTTATAAGCCTGTGTCTGGTAATAAGTCCATGTCTGGTAATAAGCCATGTCTGGTAATAAGCCCATGTCTGGTAATAAACCCATGTTTGGTAATAAACCCATGTCTGGTAATAAGCTTATGTCTGGTAATAAACCCAGGTCTGGTTATATAAGCCCATGTCTGGTAATAAGCCCTTGTCTGGTAATTAACCCATGTTTGGTAATAAGTCCATGTCTGGTAATAAACCCATGTCTGGTTATATAAGCCCATGTCTGGTAATAAGCCCAAGTCTGGTAATAAACCCATGTCTGATAATAAGCCCATGTCTGGTAATAAACCCACATCTGGTAATAAAACCCATGTCTGGTAATAAACCCACATCTGGTAATAAACCCACATCTGGTAATAAACCTATGTTTGGTAATAAGCCCATGTCTGGTAATAAACCCATGTCAGGTAATAAACCCATGTCTGATAATAAACCCACATCTGGTAATAAACCTATGTTTGGTAATAAGCCCATGTCTGGTAATAAACCCATGTCTGGTAATAAACCCATATCTGGTAATAAACCCACATCTGGTAATAAACCTATGTTTGGTAATAAACCCATGTCTGGTAATAAACCCATGTCTGGTAATAAACCCATGTCTGGTAATAAGCTCAGTTAAAATGCCAACAAATACCATTTCTTTGTACTGTAATAAGCCTACCCTATACTTTGAGTCTGTGATTGTGTATTTTAGCTCCTGGGCTTACTTGCAAGATAGATATGGTAAATATATACTAAATATTAACACGCACACAACATTCAGTGGTTAAAACATGTGATTGTTTTGTCATCACTGTCACAATTGGCAGTATGACAGGAACTATCACATGAAAATATGTGTTTTTACAGATTGAAATTTTTTGGATTGAGCCTGTGGTTTACTTTGGTCATATGCAAGTGTGATGTTTTATCGTATGATTTGGCTATGATTCATTTTAGTATGACCATGTGCAATATATAACCCACTTTGTGATACCGCAAGTAACAGCGAGATGAATCAAGGTGAACTGAAGAAATGGTGGCATTTGTCTTATTCATTCTACCTAACTTTGTGACACAATTTATTAACTCATAAAGTTAGGTAAATAATATGATGAAAAGAATCCCTCATTTATGTCATCCTTCCATCTGTGATTTTTATGAAACTTTATCACTTGAAGCTCATTTTATAAAAATCAGAAATATACTCATTTGAAACCGTGCTAGTATTTGTGTTGTTGCTGACTGACCTATATCTGGGGAAGAAAGATTGATAGGACTTTGTCATGCAAGATAATACTGCAATCTTTGTCTATATAGGTGCAGTACGTCTTGTGCAGAAAATAATTTCAAGAATTCTTTCTTCTGATTGACAAATTCCTTGTTCTTCAAATTATTATTTAAAAAGAAATCTATGAATATCTCAAAAATACTGGTAAATAGGGCATGCACATACAAAAAACATTCATTTTTTTTTACCAGATGTCCCATCTTTTTAGCCCACCATCATCTGATGGTGGGCTATTCAAAGCACCCTGCGTTCGTGGTCCGTGGTCCGTGGTCCGCCCTAAACAATTCTTGTTATCGCTATTTCTCAAGTAGTACCAGAGGGATCTTTCTCAAATTTTATATGTAGGCTCCCCTTGGTCTATAGCTGTGCAGGGCAATTTTTGAGACTGATCAGATAAACAACATGGCCGACAAGCAGCCATCTTGGATTTTGATAGTGAAAGTTTGTTATCGCTATTTCTCAAGAAGTATCAGAGGGATCTTTCTCAAATTTTATATGTAGGTTCCCCTTGGTCCTTAGCTGTCCTCATATGGCCCTGTATGTTGTGAGGATGTTAACCCTAAAAAAAAACCCACCAAAAAACAATCTAACCAGATATTGTAGAGTCATTATCTCAATTTGTTCACAAACATGTTTATTGTTTAAATGTATTACAATCAAAGTTATGTTTAAGTAATATCAAGCCTGGACTATATTGTACAACTTGATTGACAATGAAATAGCCATTGACAGCTGCATATGTCAACAAAATGATAACCCAGTAAAAAAGGAAAGTCTAGATGTGACGCACCTGTTAGTTAATTTGTGAGACATTTACATTCATTCAATTGCATTTATTTCATAATGAATTCATATGTGCATGTTATAAAGTCTCAATCTAATCTGAAAGTCACCAATGATAGAAAAGTCCTTATAAAATTCTGAATAAAATGTATAAATAATAACTTAATGTGGTTGATGATTTTGAAAGTTATGTTAAGCCTTGTATTTGAGGCCAAAATTGTCCCTGACAAGTGGTGACTTTAGCCTGAGGTTGAGCTGTTTTCTATTTTTAACACTATATTGAAGGGCACACACCAAAGAAGTGTCCGTTTGGTATATCTTCCAAGAAAAGTTGGTTGTTCATGTTTTTCAGTATCCTGGAACTCAGGAAGGAGAAGTCGCGTGATGCTGCTCGGTCAAGGCGGGGTAAAGAGAATTATGAGTTCTACGAGCTAGCCAAGCTTTTACCCCTTCCGCCAGCCATTACTAGCCAGCTGGACAAAGCCTCCATCATTCGGTTGTCTATAAGCTATCTCAAAATCCAGGACTTCTCGTCACATGGTGACCCGCCCTGGGCTCAGAATGCTGCTCACGCCAAATCTCTCAAAGGTATGTATACAATTTTATCACATAATGTACTGTGTTATCCAGTGAATATACCCATGTCATATTTTTGTGTGTATTAACCCATCTAATATGACCTATCAGCCCTGTGATTGGTTGTAAGTTTCATTTGTTTCAATTGTGATGTCACGTCTAGGACAAGTACATGACGTCACAGACTTACGCACTGGTGTCAAAATGGCGTCTTTTTACATTTCAAGGTGGCATGAAAATTGTCGTTTTACACAAATAAATGCCACAAATCTTGATTATGTGATAAAAAGGATCTTACGCTCGTTTTCATTTCAAATGAAATTTATGAAATGAAAATTCATGTAAGATCCTCTATGTATTATCCACCTTGATAAGGTGCCTCATTTTGATTTGTTAGTATTACATCAAATGATATTTTGATATGAAAGTTATAGTTGTCTCCTGTAGAAATTGGAATAATTCTTTTGGTAAATATTCATCATATAGTCCACTCAGAACCATGATATTGTCCATCCTGAATTGTTACATACATGCCAACTTGGAATTGTTTTCTTGCCCACTCAGAAGTTTTATATTGTGCAATTATTACATATAAGGCCCACCTAGAATTGTTATATTGCCCACACAGTCATTATATAGAAGGCCCACCCACAATTGTTATATTGCCCACACAGAATTGCTATATTGCCTGCTCAGGACCAGTATAATAATTATATATAAGGCCCATCCACAATTGTTATATTGCTCACTCAGTTTTAGTTTATTGCCTACACAGAGTCATTATAAATAAGGCCCACCAAGAGTTGCTATTTTGCCCACACAGTGTCATTAGATATAAGGCCCCCCAAGAGTTGCTATATTGCCCACACAGAGTCATTAGAAATAAGGCCCACCAAGAGTTGCTATTTTGCCCACACAGAGTCATTAGATATAAGGCCCACCAAGAGGTGCTATTTTGCCCACACAGTGTCATTAGATATAAGGCACACCAAGAGTGGCTATATTGCCCACACAGAATCATCAGATATTAGGCCCACCAACAGTGGCTATATTGCCCACACAGAGTCATCAGGTATAAGGCCCACCAAGAGTTACTATATTGCCTACACAGTCATTATATATAAGCCCCACCAATAATTACTTTATTGCCCACACACAGAGTCATTAGATATAAGGACCACCAAGAGTTGCTATATTGCCCACACAGAGTCATCAGATATTAGGCCCACTAAGAGTTGATATATTGCCCACACAGAGTCATTAGATATTAGGCCCACCAAGAGTGGCTATATTGCCCACACAGAGCCATTATAAATAAGGCCCACCAAGAGTGGCTATATTGCCCACACAGAGTCATCAGATATAAGGCCCACCAAGAGTTACTATATTGCCTACACAGTCATTATATATAAGACCCACCAATAATTACTTTATTGCCCACACACAGAGTCATTAGATATAAGGCCCACCAAGAGTTGCTATATTGCCCACACAGAATCATCAGATATTAGGCCCACCAAGAGTGGCTATATTGCCCACACAGAGTCATTATAAATAAGGCCCACCAAGAGTTGCTATATTGCCCACACAGAGTCATTATATATTCAAGGACCACCAAGAGTTGCTATATTGCCCACACAGAGTCATCAGATATTAGGCCCACTAAGAGTTGATATATTGCCCACACAGAGTCATTAGATATAAGGCCCACCAAGAGTTGCTATATTGCCCACTCAGAGTCATTATAAATAAGGCCCACCAAGAGTGGCTATATTGCCCACTCAGAGTCGTTATATATGAGGCCCACCAAGAGTTGCTTTATTGCCCACAGAGAGTCATTATATATGAGGGCCACCAAGAGTGGATATATTGCCCACTCAGAATCAGTATATCACCCATGCAGAGTCATTTATATAAGGCCCACCCAGAATTGCTATATTGCCCACACATAATTATTATATCACCCACACAGAGTCATTTATATAAGGCCCACCCAGAATTGCTATATTGCCCACACATAATTATTATATCACCCACACAGAGTCATTTATATAAGGCCCACCCAGAATTGCTATATTGCCCACACATAATCATTATATCACCCACACAGAGTCATTTTATATAAGGCCCACCCAGAATTGCTATATTGCCCACACATAATCATTATTTATTGCTCTTGCATCCTAATCCATCAATAGTTTACTTTATTTTACTTTGCTTGACACTAACACCTCTTACAACATTCTGTGTGGAAACTTTCAAAGACGAACAATTCAGACAAGTCTTCAATTACAACAATTATTGGCACTGTACACAAACAAATTAAATATCTTTTTACGCATATATTCACGGTAAATATTAATTGAAAAGTCCTTAAATTTGGCCTCGAAATGTTTGTATGATCAATGTGATAAAAGTTCATTAAACCTATGTTAGGGTGACATAAAAATTTGGCACCCTCGACTTGCAGTTTTATAAACCTCAGAAAGAAAACATTATTAAACCTATATTAGGGTGACATGAAAATTTATCACCCTTGACTTGCGGTTTTGTAAACCTCAGAAAGGCCCCAGGGTAATATTACCTGTCACTGGTAGATAAATCCTCATGTCACACCAATATTGAGTCAATAATTACATATTATCATGCAAATATTGAGTATTTAATATGCCCAGGTCATATGTAATAAGTGATATTAAACTCATATAATGATTGTGATTGATTGAAATATTCTAGTGTGGTATGCAATATTCAAGTGTGATATCAGGATAAAAATCAGACATTGACATTTAAGACACTTCAAGATGGTTAAATCACAGATTTTCTGATACTTTAAAGGTAGGATAATTTCCCCTTTATTTATAAATTTTTGCTGCACTGATTAAACTGTATTGACAATGACAATGTAATAGCTATAGGCATTTGAATGAGATGTCGTATTTTATATTCCACATGACATTTTAGTTACAAAAACTATCTTTATAGTAATAATCATCAATTCTAGATTTTAAAATCAGTTTAGATAAGGAATAAAGATGTATTTTTTTTCAGGGTGAATGATATATAAATTGTTTAGGTTATATGTCTGTTAAACAATATAAGTTCCAGATGTATCGGAGTCCATGTAAACAAGGTTCCACTGTGGTAAAAGGAATTGGATGGGACTCTTGTCAGATCACAAGCAGACTTTGATCTGTATAATTATAGAATTCTCATTAATAAACAAACAATTTTGTCATTTGTCCAATATAATTTTGGTGCATTGTCACATTCTAAGGAAATTATCCAGTGTAGGTCATTTGTGTTTGGCCAGGACTGTAGCAGTTGTAAGTGTATTCGATTTTGAAACAGTATTTGTCTGTTAGCTATAGGGGTATAATGTATCGAGTGTCTTAATTATAACTAGCCACAGCTGCTGTGGGAGGCTTCTCCTGGTCATAAGTAGACACTTTGACTCAAGTCTGGACTAGTGAGGTCAAGGATTCAGGTATAGTAAATCAGGCGTCTGTGTTTGCCTGTGATTCAGTTCCTGGAGCTCAGGTAAAAGTCTGGTGATGTGTCGGCCAACTGGTTGTCATGGTTTCGTCATTGCATTTAGCTTTTTATGGTCGACTGGTCTTCAATGATCTTGCTGTTTGTGTTGCCGGAATATGTTTAAAAAGGGCTGGAAACAACATCAGTTTCATACAGGCCAGATTGAGACAGTTATCAAAGTTCCGATGCCTCTAGGTCATCTACATTATTGTTGGTGTTAAAATAGAACAGGAGTGAAAGTTATAACGAGTCCAATCTGTTCTGATTGGTTTAGTTATGTTGCGAGAGCATTCTTCCGTTAATCCTATTCATTCATACCAATTTTTGACCACATTGCTATATAAATTGTCATTGCCCCAAAACATTTTCCTTTGTTAAATATCGAGATGGCAGGAGGGAAAAAATGTTTGTTTTGTATTTCTTGGAATTGTTTCCAGCTGTGTGGTGGGTCTGTGGATCCTCGGCGAGATTCTGGGCGAGTCTCCGGAGCAACACCGAGGTTTCCAATCCTGCATTTTACAGCTGCAGTCACTGTAACAAGAATGTTGACAATGTCTAAGAGATAGTCTTAATCATATTTACTGCAAATATCCCTTAAACAGTTCTGTGTATCAGGCTCCGGTTACCCCAAGCATGGCAAATGATAGCTCACACAAGGTGCAGGTGTAGGCCCTCTGCTATCAAATTTCCCACCCACTTTAATGCAAAACCCCTTGGTCAAAGTGGTTCTACCATTAAACAAAACCTCTCCAGCGAAGTCCTTGACGGGGAGTTTTTGAATTTTTTGGCTGATTATTCAAGAGATGTGGGCCTTTTTTCTCTGTGTTCGCCTGGCAGATCAGTGCTGATTTATTTGCCCAGTGCTATCCGATACACTGCAGACTTAAATGAAGCGTGACATTTGGGTGAGGGGGTACTGCAAGGAGATCCCTTCAGCTCCTTCATCTCTGCTGACCCTTTCTTTTTGTATCTGACCCCGTTTCTATATCGCCTTCATTTGGCATTCTTTCAACTGTTGGTTTCCCTGACCAGTTTTGACAGACAGCGGCAGATCTGATGCGTTGTATCTCCCGCTGATTAAAGGTAATGGATAAAATGGGAAAGTGTAATATAAGCATTGGGGAGGAGCGAGGGACCTCCCTCACTGCTTCTGTATGGGGATCTCTTCAGCCTCCGCAACCACCTCCGTCTGATAACAGGACCATTTTACAGACTCGGCTTGCTATCGGGTCAAGACTTATTATCGTTATAATCACACTTATGTATCTTGTCCTTTGCTATGCATCGTAATATCTTGAAACATCTGGAAATAAGATGCTGTACAATTAAACATAAATGCTTAAAAGTGAGATTTTTTTCATTCTGATAATGAATTTTTGTGCAAATGAAGCCAAAGGACTATTTTGTGTTATCATCATGGTTTGATTGTCAGCTGGTTCCGAACCATTAGACATACCATATGTATCTTAAAACATTCATTAAGATGAAAATGAAAGCTTTAGGTCATTCTATTCATCAATTTCTATGGTATTGGGAGTGTCTGTCCATAATATCCGTCCGTCCATACTTTTGTTTCCACAATGATAACTTGCTTAAATATTATTCAATTTTGATGAAACTTGCAAACCATATACTTTATACGAAGTCTTACGGCAAGGATTGGTAAGTGCATGGTTTTAACACAATAACTAAATCGAAGATGACCGGATTCTGATGAAACGTGGTCAACATTCATATTAGACATGTACCAAGACGTAGACTAAAGCTCAAAGGTGAACAAAATCTGTGCATGGCCTTCAATGAGCTTACATTAATGTTCAGCTCATACCATACTCTTCTTTTACATAACATATATCATTTGAATATTTATATTTTTTAATGTTAATCGAATTGTCTATATTCTGTTATTCAAAATGAGAAAATACAGGAAACTTTAAAAATAAGAAAGAGGAAATTGTCATTTGATATTTCAAATTTATAACAAGCGGTTGTATACCGACCTTTTCTTGTATTTTATAACAAGCGGTTGTATACCGGCCTCTTCTTGTATTTTATAACAAGCGGTTGTATACCTCGTCTTGTACTTTATAACAAGTGGTTGTATACCTTGTCTTACATTTTATAACAAGCGGTTGTATACCTCGTCTTGTATTTTATAACAAGCGGTTGTATACCTCGTCTTGTATTTTTGAATTATTTCTATTGAATAAATTATAAATGATTTGAAATTTGACATTTCAGAAACCAAGTTTCAAAATGGACACAATGATAGAAAATTTTCTTTAGAAATATTATTTTGATGTTAATTTGCCAAACAGCTTTTACTCATTGTTGCAATTATAAATTTTCGGGTTGTTAAAAGCTTTATGAAATAAATGTATGAATACTAAAGAGCAATGTTTGGTTACAGGGCACAGCCGTCGACGCAATATCGCCAATCTAGCCCTCGACGTGTTTGAATCTCATCAAGGCACCCATATTTTACAGGTATGTGAATCCTGATAAAGGCATGTTATGCTCGTTACCTGGATATTCTGATCATTCTTACTGCAGTTTGCCAAAAAAAAAGCAATCTCGAATGGAAATGGAAATTAAACTATACATTATTTTATACAAGCTGAAATATATGTTTGTTTAATTTCTTAAACTTTACAAATTTACCACTTAACTTAAACTTTCATGAATAATAATATGATTTACATGGGTTTTAAGCAGAAATATTTAACTTTTTATAAAGCTGTGAAAATTTTAACCACAGTAGTTTGAGAAAGCTGTTTATCTTATGTAAGTAATTATGTTATATGTTTATCACTCTATATAAAATGTTTGTTCCACCATCGACTCTAAATTTGATTATTGATACAATTTGTGGTGATGAAATCATTCAGAAATCAAATTAGGACGTTTTACAATCAATATCACATTCAAAATAATTGAGTTATTTAAGAATATGTTCCCACTGGTAACATTTCAGGGACAATTGACTTAAGGTCAACCAGAGGTCAAATATAAGGTCATGCTCAAGGTCAAGTAATGGCTAGTCAGTCAAGGTCAAAATGCCAAGGTGATGCTTTTGAAAGTCTGTAGAAAAAACCCTTCAGGAATTGAAATAATAGAGTTATTGTCTGGTGCTAATTTGATATAGATTTATGACGGATCATGACAGGTTATGGGGGTGTATAGAACTATAATTACGCGGGCCTACTACACACAACAGGGAATTAGAGAGGCCCAGGCAATCTCAGTGTAGACTGCAAGGCTTCAGTTATCATTTCTAATTCTGTTAGAGAGAAAAAACAACAGTTCATTGATTTAGTTCATGATGTTGGTTTAAATTGGTTTCAAGCTATTTTTATTATAATAATAAACTTTATTTATTGAGGATTAAAACCTGATTCGGCCAAACAAATACACAGTTATGTTCCTGTAACGAGATACTGTCATGGACACATTCCTCTGACGTATTGTATACAGGTTCATTTAGCACAAGCAGTGAAATGTTTATATATGAATGTTTCTGTGTCTGGTACGATGTGTAGTCTGTCACCTTCATCAGATTAGTGCCAGTCAAGTTTATGTACACCAAGGTATAAAATATGTACAATATGACAATGACATTTGACTATGTTCATTTTCCAATGCTATAAGGTTATACATTCAGTATTATTAATGAATGAAATGATGATGAAATCTACAAATCAATTTGATTTGCCTATGTTTTAATACCTTGTCATAGAAGCGCAAAAATCTTTCAGCCCCATCATCTCGATTCAGAAATGGCCCTTGGCGTACATATGCTTTACTTAAGTTATTTGTATGATGAAGATGACAGAGTCCATATCTTACTAGTCATCAAGGCATCATAAGTAAACATTAACAAGTATTTCTGAATGAGCCTGTATACAATTGTTATTTACCAACTCCATGAATAATATTCAAAATACCCTTCCAAGATATTCATGGTCATGTAATGTCGGGAAGCTTGTGAGAGTACTCCTGTAATCAGACATAGTCATGAACATATACCTTAGAGTCATGAGTAACAAAGTCCCTGTAACCACCCATTGTTATAAACATATCCCCCAGAGTGGGAAGTAACAATGCTCCTGTAATCAGTCATTGTCATGGACATATCCCCCAGAGTGGGAAGTAACAAAGCTCCTGTAACCAGACATTGCCGCGGACATATCCCCCAGAATGGTCTGTAACAAAGCTCATGTAACCAGACATTGCCATGGACATGTCCCTCTGAATGGCCAGAACTATACTTCTGTAACTGTACATTGTCATTGACATATCCCTCAGAGTGGTCTGTTACAATGCTCCTGTAACGAGACATTTTCATGAACAAATCCCCCAGAGTGGTCTGTAACAATGCTCCTGTAACCAGACATTGTCGTGGACATATCCCCCATAGTGGTCTGTAACAATGCTCCTGTAACCAGACATTTTCATGGACATATCCCCCAGAGTGTGGAGTAACAATGCTCCTGTAACCAGACATTTTCATGAACAAATCCCCCAGAGTGGTCTGTAACAATGCTCCTGTAACCAGACATTGTCATTAACATATTCTTTAGAGTGGTCTGTTACAATGCTCCTGTAACCAGACATTTTCATGGACATATCCCCCAGAGTGTGGAGTAACAATGCTCCTGTAACCAGACATTGTCGTGGACATATCCCCCATAGTGGTCTGTAACAATGCTCCTGTAACCAGACATTGCCGTTGACATATCCCCCAGAGTGGTCTGTCCCCCAGAATTGTCTGTGACAGCTTGCTCCTGTAACCAGACATTGCCATGGACATATCCCCCAGAGTGGGGAGTAACAATGCTCCTGTAACCAGCCATTGTCATAGACATATCCCCCATAGTGGGAAGTAACAAAGCTCCTGTAACCAGACATTATCATAGACATATTCCCCAGAGTGGGATAACCAGACATTGTCATGGACATAAACCCTAGAGTGGTCTGTCCCCCAGAATTGTCTGTGACAGCTTGCTCCTGTAACCAGACATTGCCTTCGACATATGCCCCAGTGTGGGGAGTAACAATGCTCCTGTAACCAGATATTGCCATGGACATATCCCCCAGAGTGGCCTGTTTGTTGGTGGTGGTGGGTGCTTCTCATTTCCTGGGAGGGTATCAAGTTGTTGATCTGTTTTATCCCTTTGTAATGCCACTTTGATCCTGTGTAACAGCACAGGGAATTGTCCCTTTATTCCCTGCCTAACAGTATTGTCTCGCACAGTTAATGACTTGTTGGTGGACCCTGTAATGGAAGGTTAATACCTGGGACATGAGGTCAACACCTCTTTCTCCCCTACCTCTCATCGTCTAACCTACATGTACGATTCTAATGTGCACATCTAAAAGGCAGTGCATTTTAACATCCACATTTATTCTTAAACTTTCTGCTACTTTCTTCTTGCACTTTTATTTTTGTTTGCAGTCATTATGTAAAAATTGTGTAAAGAATTTTATCTTAATTAGAATTACCAAAAACTACTAAAACAACCTCTTAAAATAGTGTAATTTGTATTGAATTGAGAGCATGCAGCTACATTTGATGTAGAGCATTATACATTATATAAAGCTAGTGCTCGCCTTGGATGCACTAGAATGAACTAGAGATCCCCCCCACTCCCCCCCCACACGATCATTAACTAAGTCAGAGGCAAGATGTGAATTTAACCCTCTCATAGATAGTTAAATTCAGATTTCTCTCCCGCCTTGCGTTGCCCTGCCTCAAGCTGGCCAGTGAAGGTTTTGTGTAAAGTTTAATCTAGACGATTAGACAGAACAGCATGGTCACAGTATCACAAGACTATATTGATCATTTCCTATTGTGTACTTTTGTCCTCTGTTTCTAAAGATATTTTGACTTGAATATTAATATCCTTTTGCGTAAAAATTTCGACAAAAATTCCAAGTGCAATGTTATGAAAAATATATTAAGCAAGACAATTTGGCAACATGAAGGAGCAAAATGTTAAGTACTTTCAAATTGAAAGGACTTGCATCATTTAACTAATAATAAATTAACTGAACAGTACATAAAAGATTATTAAACCTACTAAAAGGGTATTAAAGAAATCAAAGGTTTTAGAGCCAATGATATTATCGTAATTATTTCACAAGTTTATTGTAACAGAGGATAGACACCAGGGGGTCACGAATCCGGACAGTTTGATTGTCAGAGCGAGCAGACACTAATTCTCCTACGAGACAGACCGACTCAAGGTTGCATTGATTTTCTGGACATTTCTGTTAAGAATGCAATTACGTCAAACATGAAATGATATGTTTCTGCTTTTGAATTTTAATGTACCCCATATGCTGCAAAACAAACCATTAAATTTGCTGGTTTTATTTCAGCGCCATTATAAGAACTTCTGTCATTTTTAGAAAGAAAAAAGAAGTTTTCTTGGTTTAGAAAAAGTCCATCTGTTTCCTCTCTGTAAATGTACCAGGCTTTCTACAATCAGGTGGACTAGCAATGAAGCATGGATGAAACATATACCTGTTGTTAATTGCATATACACCTGCCATTCATTTCAGACAGGTCTGCTTCCAGTTTTCTGGGTGCCTGCTTTATTTTTAAAGACTGTTCTTCTGAAATAATTTCTGTTCATTGCGTAAGTTTAATTTTAATGAGGAAATAAATGGGACTAGAAAGAAAAAAATCTGTAACATATGCAAGTTAAGGAATGGTTTTGATACTGGTACAATGAGAGTACGGAGTGGAGTGAATAAAATATTTTATAACAGTGTGTAGGTAACTTAAACTGGACCCAAAGCTTTGAGCTGGCCTTTTATACCCTGTTTTAACTGCATATATCCTATCCTGAATAAGAAGTGTTGTATTATATATACTGATTTTAGACAGATTCAGGACAAATATTATGATGTGCCAAATATAAAAACAATATGTTCTATGAAATTGATTTGTCGAAGATTTTTGAATATTTATGTAAAATTGGCCAGAACTGTTAAAATTTGAAATTTGAAAATACTTGTCAGATCTGCGACCAGTCAACAGTGTTCTATGTATGCAGATTTAAACTTTTATCATAAAGCTTATTTTGGGGTTTTAAGTTGTCTGTGTCTTCTTATTGATTCTGAATTATAACTTTGTAGTCATAGGCTCTTTTACAAAGCTGAATTAACAAAAATGTTAAAAGTTGGAAATTTTTGCAGGACCCTGGGTAAAAAGCTCGGCAGCTTCTTTTAATATGTTTATATTTCCAAATTTCAGTATCAAAATCATCAACATATTAAGATGATAGAGAAACAGAGATCTTAATGTCAATAATTATATTAGATTACTACATCATAATTTGTAAAGGTATTATATATATATCTATATAAATTGACTCCGAATCAAATGCTTGACAGAAACAGATTCATCTTACAAACTTTTAAAATGAAATGGTGTCTTTAAAAAACGTCTTTCATAAGTATAATATAGCCGCTTATTAAGAATGCTATGCATAATGTATTTGCAGGTTGTCACAAAATAAAAGGTACTTGATCATATGCAGACAGTTTGAATACAATGGTTTTTGTAACAATGCAGACATCTAAGAAATAACAATTTTGAAGAAATTTATAAATAGTTACCTCTGATATGTGATATTAATTTATTTTTGTCATCATATTTTCCAGTCACTGGATGGGTTTGCGTTTGCTCTGGCAAGTGATGGGCGATTCCTATACATATCCGAGACAGTTTCTATATACCTCGGCCTTTCACAGGTGAGTAATTGATTGTCTGTATCTACAAAATTGTTCAGTTTAACGAGCAAGCTAGGTCACTTTGTACTCATTACACTGATAAATTTCTTTTGATCTAAAATGACTCTTCTAAAATAAATAGTGATTTCACTATAAACAGCTTAGCTTTAAGAGATTATTCTCAAAATATTGACTCAAAAATGTTAAATTTAAATTAGGTCAAAATTATTTTTTTATTTGAAATATAGGTCACTGCTGTCAACTATTGACACAAAAACATTCAATTTAAATCAGGTCAAAATTATTTTTTATTTGAAATATAGGTCATTGCTTTCAACTATTGACACAAAATCATTCAATTTAAATTAGATCAAAATTAATTTTTTTATTTGAAATATAGGTCACTGCTGTCAAGCATTGACACAAAAAAAATCAATTTAAATTAGGTCAAAATTAATTTTATTTGAAATGTAGGTCATTGGTGTGAAAGTTCAGCTTAAGATAGATTTGTTTTTGAAATAAAACTAGAAATAAAAGTAAAAATGAGACCTCATTAATACCTGAAGTATTTTTGGAGTGTTCTTGGGGTTTTTGGTTTAGCACAAATGCCCACTGGTAGAAAAAGGGGGTGGTAGATCTATATATGGCACAAAAGTTATAATCTAGGTCACATGGGTCAGTTAGTACAGTTACAGATTTGAAGGCTGTTGCCAAGTTATATTTCTGGTAAAGGGGTCACTTGGGGCTGCATGGTCAGTTAAATTTTATGGTTTTTCAGCTGGTTGTTAGAATGACCTCGTTATTGAGACCACCTAGCTGTTAAGGCCATTGTGATGTAGTGCCTTTGCAATCTTAAACAGAGATGTTACTGTGATCCAGTCTCCTTGAAAGTCGCAATATACAGGTTTTACTCTACAAGATAAGGGGAACTTACATTTGATCCAGTTCCAATCAGTGGTTATATCATACAGAGATTTTACTGTCAATATAAAGGAAATACAAGTTTCAGGCCTGTTGATGGTCACAATGGAAGGGTTTTATTATGCAAGATACAGGGGACACATTACCTTAAATTTAGTCCAGTCCTTTTGGTAATTAAAAAGAGATGTTTTACGCTACCAGATGAGGGCAAAATACCTTTAGTACAGTCCCATATTGGTCGTTAAAAAGAGATGTTCTATTTTACAAGATAAGGTATAAGATTGGGTATAAGAATGGGTATAAGATAAAGTATAAGATAAGGTATAAGATTGGGTATAAGATAAAGTATAAGATAAGGTATAAGATAGGTATAAGATTGGGTATAAGATAAGGTATAAGATAAAGTATAAGATAAGGTATAAGATTGGGTATAAGATAAAATATAAGATAAGGTATAAGATTGGGTATAAGATGCGAGAAATCTTACAGTTGTATCCAGTAACCTGTGGTGGATGTAATAGAGTAAGACTCTTTCATGCCCAGGGGTTTTGTACCAATTTAAAAACTCCTCGGGTGGAATTTCCGTAACCTACTACCCTGCATGGCATGAAAGAGTGTTTTTCTCTCATTACTCCAATAACCAGGGTTAGCTTGGGAACAACAAAAGAGCATCATAGTTTCCTCGTCGCGGCTTCATAATGATCCCGATTTCATGATGTCATGTCATTGTGATGTCATGCACATGAATTCGGGTGCAAGATAGAAATTTTCAACACCCGTTTCTTATCCTGGACAGTTCTGTTATAAATGGTCAGGAATAGGAAAAATATTTTTATGTGCATGATGTTAGCTAGGATTTAAAGTTTGATCAAGTGTTCTGGGCGATCTTGATAGAGAGGTTTTACTGTACAAGAGTAATCTAGTTGGATCTTAAGTATCGTTGGTGGGAGTGACATTCTGTTAATTATCATTCTTTATATTGACTGCTTGTTTGTTCTTTAAACTGTGGGAAAAAATGGACTTAATTCTCAATATATTAGACCAGAGTTCTTCTCAATAAACATGAGTAACAATGAAACACAGATACATAAAACTTCCTAATTAGATTAAATTACGTTAAATTGATTCTATGATATAAGAAGTGGTAATTAAAGAATAGGTAAGACTTTGAAGTTAAAATTAATGTAGATTTGATATATCATAATTTTGAAGCATATGCATAAAACATGCTTCATTTGATACTGAATATGTTAAGTTTATTACAATATATTCAAAGAATGATAGTAAAAGTGCTCTGGCTGCTATTAAAACAGCGTTTAAAGTCAGCAATGAATGGCTAACATTGCCCATACCTTGTTACTAGTGTCAGTGAAGTGATATGTCCATTCCTTTAATTAGTAGATCTTAAAGGTACAGTGCTGCTAACTTTCGTTCTTTATTCTGATCAGCAGGATAAAACTGACATTTCATATTTTCCTTTTATAGTAAAAGTTGTAAACTTTCCGTTGATACCACACTCCGAGTGTGAAAAGTGTAAAAGATATTAAATAAAAATGAATTAAATCTTATTTTCTTGCTTGTTGTAAAGGATTCGATGATTTACATACTGTCACGCATGTCCCAATCAGCCCCTTAAAAATGACGCTATTTCTTGTCAAATATTGCACGCTTCTTCTGCTATTAGATAGTTTATTGTTAATACTACTTCATAAGTGAAATATGAAGTCGTTTAGCAAGTCAAGAGATGCAATAGATCTTTATCAATTACGATGAAAGTACATTCATTGTGTCCACATTACCTCTGGCCCAGCTATCTAACACATAATACTATGTATATGTAACCTCTGGCCCTATCTAACACATAGTACAATACATACGTAACCTCTGGCCCAGCTATCTAACACATAGTACTATTTATATGTAACCTCTGACCCTATCTAACACAAAGTACTATGTATACGTAACCTCTGACCCTAACATATAGTACTATGTATATGTAACCTCTGGTTATATCTAACACAAAGTACTATGTATACGTAACCTCTGACCCTATCTAACACATAGTACCATGTATAGGTAACCTCTGGCCCAGCTTTCTAACATATAGTACTATGTATATGTAACCTCTGGTTCTATCTAACACAAAGTACTATGTATAGGTAACCTCTGACCCTATCTTACACATAGTACTATGTATATGTAACCTCTGGTTCTATCTAACACATAGTACTATGTATACGTAACCTCTGGCCCTATCTAACACATAGTACTATGTATATGTAACCTCTGGCCCTATCTAACACATAGTACCATGTATATGTAACCTCTGGCCCAGCTATCTAACATATAGTACTATGTATATGTAACCTCTGACCCTATCTAACACATAGTGCTATGTATACGTAACCTCTGGCCCAGCTATCTAACACAAAGTACTATGGATATGTAACCTCTGACCCTATCTAACACATAGTACTATGTATACGTAACCTCTGGCCCTATCTAACACATAGTACTATGTATACGTAACCTCTGGCCCTATCTAACACATAGTACTATGTATACGTAACCTCTGGCCCTATCTAACACATAGTACTATGTATACGTAACCTCTGACCCTATCTAACACATAGTACTATGTATACGTAACCTCTGGCCCTATCTAACACATAGTACTATGTATACATAACCTCTGGCCCTATCTAACACATAGTACTATGTATACGTAACCTCTGGCCCTATCTAACACATAGTACTATGTATACGTAACCTCTGGCCCTATCTAACACATAGTACTATGTATACGTAACCTCTGGCCCTATCTAACACATAGTACTATGTATACGTAACCTCTGGCCCTATCTAACACATAGTACTATGTATACGTAACCTCTGGCCCTATCTAACACATAGTACTATGTATACGTAACCTCTGGCCCTATCTAACACATAGTACTATGTATACGTAACCTCTGGCCCTATCTAACACATAGTACTATGTATACGTAACCTCTGGCCCTATCTAACACATAGTACTATGTATACGTAACCTCTGGCCCTATCTAACACATAGTACTATGTATACGTAACCTCTGGCCCTATCTAACACATAGTACTATGTATACGTAACCTCTGGCCCTATCTAACACATAGTACTATGTATATGTAACCTCTGGCCCTATCTAACACATAGTACTATGTATACGTAACCTCTGGCCCTATCTAACACATAGTACTATGTATATGTAACCTCTGGCCCTATCTAACACATAGTACTATGTATACGTAACCTCTGGCCCTATCTAACACATAGTACTATGTATACGTAACCTCTGGCCCTATCTAACACATAGTACTATGTATACGTAACCTCTGGCCCTATCTAACACATAGTACTATGTATACGTAACCTCTGGCCCTATCTAACACATAGTACTATGTATACGTAACCTCTGGCCCTATCTAACACATAGTACTATGTATATGTAACCTCTGGCCCTATCTAACACATAGTACTATGTATACGTAACCTCTGGCCCTATCTAACACATAGTACTATGTATACGTAACCTCTGGCCCTATCTAACACATAGTACTATGTATACGTAACCTCTGACCCTATCTAACACATAGTACTATGTATACGTAACCTCTGGCCCTATCTAACACATAGTACTATGTATATGTAACCTCTGGCCCTATCTAACACATAGTACTATGTATACGTAACCTCTGGCCCTATCTAACACATAGTACTATGTATACGTAACCTCTGGCCCTATCTAACACATAGTACTATGTATACGTAACCTCTGGCCCTATCTAACACATAGTACTATGTATACGTAACCTCTGGCCCTATCTAACACATAGTACTATGTATACGTAACCTCTGGCCCTATCTAACACATAGTACTATGTATACGTAACCTCTGGCCCTATCTAACACATAGTACTATGTATACGTAACCTCTGGCCCTATCTAACACATAGTACTATGTATACGTAACCTCTGGCCCTATCTAACACATAGTACTATGTATACGTAACCTCTGGCCCTATCTAACACATAGTACTATGTATACGTAACCTCTGGCCCT